ACGCCACTCCCAGCGAGGGTTTTGAAAAAAGGCGCTTGCGTCAATTCACTTTTTCAAAACTATCGCTGGGAGTGGCGTTTTCTGCGAAAATGCGAACATGCCCCCTTGCTTGCTTGCTTGCGTGCGTGCGTGCGTGCGTGCGCGCGTGCGTGCGTGCGTGCGCGCGTGCGTGCTTGTTTGCTTACTTGCTTGCCTGCTGTGTGCCATCATCGTCATCAACATCAACAGCGACAAGAAGAGGAGAGGTGGAGGCGGCGTGGGGGCGAGGGGCGCCCGAGAGAGGCAGGATGGCAACGGCGGGCCCCGCCTGCTGCGGCGGCCGCTTACTTGAAAGTCCAAGGGGAGGGGGCTCAGGCTCAAGAGGTTGGTGCCCAAGAACTCCAAGGGAACAAGGCTTTGCATCCGATGGCGGAGGCAGCAGGGGGCCAAGAGCCAGAGAGAAAGAAAGGCAGAGATAGAGAGAGAATGGGGGAGATGGGGGAAGCGACTCAGAGAGAGAGAGAGAGAGGGAGTGAGAGAGAGAGAGAGAGAGAGAGAGAGAGAGAGAGAGAGAGAGAGAGATAGAGAGAGAGAAAACGAGAACGATAGAGAAAGATAGGGGGGCTCCGAGGATTTCATGACCACTTGATTCCAAACGATCAGGCTCGTGCTCGGTCTGTGTTTTGTTTCTGCGGCGATGTCGCTCCGTGGGTGCGGATAATCCAAATGTGCTTCGAGGATTTCGTCGCCGGAATGTTGGAATCGTTTTTTTGTCGTCGCGGCGTCGCGCGCAGTCGCATATAGCAGGCCCCAGCACAGCTAGCACTACGGCGCTCAGTCGAGCACGGCGAGGAGGTAGTCGACAGGGTCGGAGTCGATGGGGTCGTCGACGGGGGCAGCGGGGTCGAACTCAACCTCGCCGTCGTTGTCGGGGAAGGTCAGGGGGTCTCTCTCCCCGTCGAAGATGCGAGGGGCAGGGCTCGCCAGGAGGCCCCAGATAAATGAAGATGTCACCAGCCTGAATCGCATTCCCGCCGCAGGAATGCCAGCTCTGGCCTGTCTCCTGGCTCCTGGTCGGGGCCGATGGCCAGACTCCGACCTGGAAACGGGCAGGGCTGGCGTTCACGTGGCAGGGGCGCGTTTCAGGCTGGCGAGACGACGGACCGCCGATAACGGGGTTGTCCTCGGTGTCCATCCGGGCCGTCTCCATCTGCTCGCGGTCGAGCTCCCGCCGCCGCTCGCCGAAGACGTCTTCGACCTGCGTGGCTTCCCGATCCTCGCTGCGGGGAGTCAGCAGCGGCGGGGCGAGGATCACCGCCATCGCGCTGGCGCTGGGGCCCCGGGGCCCGCGGCCTCCGCGCAGCCTGCGCGACGCGAAACTGCTTGGACCGAACTGCTTGGGACCGAGCAGGTCACCAGTCGGACCGCCCCTCCCGGCCCACGCAGGCAATCCCGGCGGCCCCGCCGAGCGGCCCCACCCCGCGCCCGTTTGCTCGCTATGCTTTCAGTGATCTCTCCTACACGTCGAACCCATCTTGGATCTTGGGACCCGCTCGGCACAGTCTTGGAGCCCTCTTGCGACATGTCGGGGCCAGGGAGGGCGCTGGATGGGCCTGGGACAGGCAGGATGAGGTTGGGTGAGGCACTCCACCAGGCCCTCGCCAAGTGCCACATGTGGCACTTGGTTGGGCCCGGCGGAGTGCCACATCACTCATCCTGGGCCAAGTGCCACATGTGGCACTTGGCCGTGCGACCCCCCACACATGTACCTCCTTAGAGTTCCCCCCCCCCCGCCCGGCTAACCGCGCCCTCCGCGGCCAGGCCCGCTGCCCATGTGGCGCTTGGGCGCGGGGCGCCGGAGTGCCACATCCGCCCATGTGGCGCTTGGGCGCGGGGCGCCGGAGTGCCACGCCCGCCGCCCCCAGGCCGCCTCCTGGGCCCAATCTGGACCCTCCAAGACCCGTGTGCGCCGCCCGACGCCCCTGATTGGGCGCCATTCCAGACCCCGGGCGGGCGCCGGCGTGAGGGGGGGGGCAGGGCGTCGCACAGCGGCACCGCCGATGGCGTTCCAGTTCCAGTGGCGGCTCCTTCTCCTCTCTCCTGCCCTCCATCCCGACCTCTTCGGAACCTCATTGGCGCCTTCTTGGACTCCCTGGTGGGGCTCTTCGGCGATTCGGAAAGCTTCGGGCGCCCCCTGTAACAGGCTCGCGAGGGCCCCGACAAGGCTCCAAGAGGGCCCCAAGAGGGCCGTCCAAAGAGGCGCAAAGCATATGATGAGTGTGCCTCTTTTGGGGGGCCCAACCCCCTCATCCTCCGCCCTTCTCCGCCTACGCCAGGGCGCGCAGTCTCTGGGCCAGGTGGGGTGGGGGGGGCCGCTGGACAGGATCCTGTGCCGCTGGATCGGCAGACCCCCCCCCCTCCTCGCTTCCCCCCTCCTCGTTGCCCTGCCCCCTCGCCCCTCCAACCTGTTCCCGCAGCCGTTTTGGCCAGAGCGAGGCGGGTGCTGAGTCCGAATTGAGATCGTGCCTTCTATTGAACGTGGCCCATGAACGGCCAAGCCCTCCTCGAGATGTGGAAGACTGGCCTCTTGCCGCCGACGGAGGTGATGCGACCCGTCGTTGCAGATGCGGACCGCCTCAACGACCCGCCGTTGCAGGTTGGGCCCGGCCTGTACAAGCAGTTGTTCAAGCGGTTCTTCCAGCGTTCGTCGCAGGCCGAGAAGGATGACCTGTGCGTCTGGCTCACCCAGGTCAAGCAACGCACCATCCGCGTTGCGACGGCGTGCAGCGGCACCGACTGCCCGCTCTTGGCGTGGGCTGGCTTCGCAGAGGCAGTGGAGGAGGACTTCGGCTTCCAGGTGAAGATCGAGCACGTCTTCTCGTGCGAGAAGGACAAGGCCAAGCAACAGTTCCTGCTCAAGATGTTCGAGCTCAAGGCGCTCTTCACGGACGCCAGGCGGCTCGGCGCTGATCGAGCATACGATGTGGTGACGAAGGCCGACGTAGACGTGCGCGGCCAAGATGTCGACGTCTTCTCGCAGGGCTTTCCCTGCATCAGCGTCTCGGACCTGAACGAGGCCTCCAGCTCGGAAGGCAATCGCTCGTGCGTCCTGGACGGGCGGTTGGACACGGGAGAGGTCTTCAACGGCGTGTGCGCCTTCGCCGCCAAGAACAAGGGCACGATGAGTTTCATGATCAGCGAGAACGTGCCGCGCCTCCAGGCGCCGCCGCGTGACCGTCAGGGACGCCCCTCAGGGCCGGACAACTTGACGGCTGCGCGCTCCTTCCTGGCCTACCGCGGGTTCTGGTCGCCGACGTTCGAGCTGAACCCTCTCATGTTCGGGATGGCGCAGTCCAGGCCTCGCTTGTACTTCCCGTCCATGCCCCTGCAGCAGCTCGCGGCCAGGGGATTGTCCGTCGATGACGCCGACTGCAAGATCTTCGACATCACGAATCGCCTCGTGGGCTCCAAGCGCGTCCCGGTCGACGATTACCTCCTGGACGACTCGGCCGTCATGGGCAGGTGCTACAAGAGGTCTCAGTTGAAGCGCAAGCGGCACGATGGCGAGACTGGCGAGGAGCTGACGTGGAGGGCCGCGCACGAGGCCGCCTTCCTGAAGGCGGGGCGCAACAGGGATGCTGCTCGGCGCCCTACCGACGCTGAGTTCGAGAACAACCCGATGCTGGGCGCGGTCTGCCCCCGCGAGCTCGACATCTTGACCTTCCATGGCGTCGACGCCTACCCGATGCCGGAAAGCGACGTGTTCGTCGAGGTGAGCCAGGGCATAACACGTTCGACGAGCACCAACACATACGTGGGCACAATTGCCCCTCGGTGCCGGCGCTACTTCGCCAAGCGGGCCAGGCTCTTGTCGGGCGAGGAGTGCCTCCAGTTCCAGAGTATCTTCTACCGCGATGTGGACACGCTGCGTCAGCACAAGGACTCCCTGCCCCGCTCGCTCGCGGGCAACGCCTTCGAGGCGACCTGCTACGGCGCCACAGCCTTCGCCTCCGCGCTGGTCGCGGCGCACGGGATGAGCGCCTACATGGCCCCCTCCAGCCCTGCGCTTGCGCCCGAGGGTGAGCCAGAGTCCGAGAAATCGTCCAGCTTTGTCTCCGACGACTCCGAGTCCAGCGACCCCGCCGCCGAGGACTCGGGCGACGACGTCGACGCGGTGTGGGGGCAGGCCCTCGGCCAGGCGTCCTGAGTACAGCAGGCCGCCCTCATTGCCGTGCCCCTAGCCCCTCCGCCGATCTCGCAGTCCGCAGCGCGCGCACCAGCGGCTGCTGCCAGTGACGCATCATACGGCGGGGGAGATGGAGGAAGATGACGAGGGGGAGTAGGAGGAGGAGGAGGAGGAGGATGAAGGAGGAGGAGGGGGCATCTTGAACCACTTGAGCCCAGATAAAGCAGCGTGGGCCGTGGGCAATCCACAGCTGGACGGCGTCTTAGTTTTCCGTCTTCCCAGTTGTAGCGCGACGGTAAACGCACGCATCGAAATCTGTCGGGATCATGGACTCTCATGGGGCCTCTGGGAGCCTCCAGGGGCCATAAACATGTAACATAACCATAACCTGCTATGCTAGGCTATGCTGTACTAGCTCATCGTCGCCCCCTCCCCCCTGCGGGCCCCTACGCATAAATGCCGCGTGGCACCCTCTCCCCGCGTGCGCCCTGCCTCCCCTCGCCGCTCAAGGCTCGACCTCTGTCTGCTCTTTAGGGTCTCGCAGGGGCTTCAAGAATTGCCCCGACCTTGTCCAGCCCGCCCTTCCCTTCACTCCTGCGCCCTCTTTCTGGTGGTGAATCCTGAGTTAGGCGCCCATCCCAGAGGAAGTGGGAAGTGAATAAGGGGGGGCCCCAGTCGGCTCCCAGCCTCACCGATCCTCCTCCGAGCAATAGTACTTCCCCATCACCCCCCTCTCTCTTCCATAGGTTTTTCGGTTCCGCAGTGTGGCCGCAGAGGTCTGCGACCCCCAGCCCATCGATCTTTCCAGGACACGAGTGCCGAGCCGAGGCCCACCATGCCGGGATCACTCAGCGATGCCACTACCTTGGATATCGACATCTTGGATGACACGCCTGAGGTCCGTCATGTTCGGCCGAGGCTCGCAGCGAGACCGTCGGCCGAGGGCGGGCTCGATCGACCCGCGCCCCCTCGGGGGGGCAACAAGCCGAAGCAGTGTAAGTTCTGCTGGCGCCTCTCCACCATCCTGAACCCCATGGAGCACGAGCGCGATGCTTTCCCTTGCATCCGCTGGAGGCGCGATCGCGGCCTCGAGTGCGCCATTTGCCCCCAGGCGATCAAGGCCCACCCGGTGTACTCGAGCATCGACCCGAAGACCATTGCCGAGGATAACAAGGAGCTGTCGAAGCGGGACGTGTTCAACAAGGAGTGCGTCGCCCCCTTCGAGGCGAAAAAGAACAGCACTGGCGGCAAGCGCGACACCACCTCCCTGCACACTGCCAAGAATGCTCGCAGCGTTGAGGCCACGAATCAGCAGTTTTTGCACGCCCGCGTCATGATCGGCATCTTGTGGCCCGCCAGCGTCTACCGCAAAAGGTTCAACAAGAAGCCCCCTCCCAAGTCTCTTTCCACGTGGACGGTCAATGGTGCGCAAGTGACTGGGGTTGCCAGGGTCTAAAGGAGTCCGCAGGTATCCCCCGAGGGCCCCGACAGGGGCCCGAGGGTATCCCCCGAGAGCCCCGACGGCGCCATATCCCCCGATGGCCCCGACTGGGCCCGAAGGTGTCCCTCGAAGGCCCCGACGGGGCCACGCCAAGGCCCCCCCCCCCCCGCCCGAAGGCCCCGACGGGGACGGAGGGCGCAGGGGAGCTGGCTTCCTGGCTCCGGGAACCCTGGTCGCCCAGGTGGTGCTGCCCCCTTCGGACGGCTTCGAGCCGGGCTGCATCGAGCTCACGAACAACCAGACCACTGGCCACTGCGTGACGTCGCGCGTTGCTTCCGACGAGGCGGACGGAGCGGACGCCGTAGAGGCGGCCATCAGCACCGCGCAGAGGCGATCGCAGGTCACCGTCAGTCAGAGGAAGGCCAAAGTCAAGGGGGGCGAGGACTTGACCTTCGTCGCCGCCGCGCTTCAGGACCGCACCTCGGCCGCGCAGGACTCCGAGGACGACGACGCCCTGTTCGACGACATCTGGGGCGCGCGCCAGACGGCGGCCTCTGCCGCTGCCCAGGCCGACGACGACGACGCTGGCAGCTTCGACGAGGGCGGCGCCGAGTCCTCCAAGCCCACAGGGAGCAGGCGCAGGAGTGGGCGTGCGACGGCGCGCGCCAGCAGCACCCGCGGCGCTCGGCTGCCGCTGCAGGAGGCCAGCTAGCGATCTACTGTAGTCTACTGCTGCTGCTCACTCCTCCCCCTCACTCCTCCTCCCTCCTCCTCCCTCCTCCTCCCTCCTCCCTCCTCCTCCCTCCTCCTCCCTCCTCCCCCCTCCTCCTCCCTCCCCAGCTCCCTCGCCCCTCCCTCCTCCTCCCTCCCACCCCTCCCCCCCCCTCCTCTCTCCCGCCGCCCCCGAGAGGCGCGGGCGGCAGCTGGGGCGGCGGCTGAGGCGGCAGCTGGGGCTGCAGACGAGGCGGCAGCGGCGGAGGAGCCGCCGACGAAGCGGGGGCGCTTGGGCGCCGCTGCGGCTGCGCCCTCCCGGGCGCCTTCTGCTGCGGCCCCAGCGGCCTCGGAGCCGGCGGCAGCGCCCATCGCCTGCCCGGACCAGCGGGCGCCCGCCCCTCCTCCACCCAAGAAGCTCAACCTCGCGAAGGAACTGAACTCGACAGAGCAGGTGTTGCTCAGCATCAAACAATTTCGGGCGAGGCTGGCAGATGGCCCGGGGACGTCTGCTGCATCAGTTGCAAAACTGGTCCAGAAGGTGCCGCCGCCCCTTCCCACCTGGGCCTCGTCACTTCCAATGCTCATCCACCCTCCTTCCACGCATTATATTGCTATTGCCTATTGCCAATTGCGCCCCCCTTGCACAACCCCTCCCCTCTCTACTCCTCGTTCTACCCCTCTCTTGCTCATCCACGCCTACTTGCTTCCTGTTGCTCCTCCCCTCCTTCCCTCCTGTGCCCCCTCCCGCCCTCCTGCTTCCTCCTCCTCTCCCTCATCCCCCTCCCTTCCCTGTCCCACCCTAGCGAGGTGCGAGCCCGCGTGACTCCGGAGCTCAAGGAGTTGTACGCGAGGGGCTACGACGGCATGAACCAGACTCGCGGCATGGGGCTTTGTGACTCAGCCGAGGAGGCGCTGAGCTGGCTTGAGCCCGTCTGCCGCGTTCTCGAGCAGCGCACCCCGGGCGCCGTTGCCTGCGCGGCGGATGAGCTGGAGGCGGACGTCAGGGCGGCGCTTGCAGCTGGCGTCGGCATCCATGAGTTGGGCGAAGTCGTTCGAGGCGATTGCTCTGCGACGGGCGGCCGAACATGCGCGGCGGGCTGACTGGGGTGAGCTCATTGACTCCCTGGCGAAGCTGGTCGACGCGCATGGGCTGGCAGCCAGCGCCGCTGACTTGAAGAAGCGGGTCGTCCTGCAGACGATCAGCGACATCTGCAAGATTGGGGCGCCGACGGCAGACTCACCCGCTCCGCCGACAGCGGAGGCCGCCTTGCTTGAGTTCGCCCAGGTCGCTACGGGGAACCCGAAGCTGGACCACCTGGATGCTGCTCTTTCACAGGACATCGCCCGCGTTGCCTTGCTCAGCACTCCGATCACCGCCGGCGAGACCAGCGAAGACGTCGCGAAGAGCATCCAGGAAGCCAAGAGTACTCTTGCAACTGTGAAGACGGGGCCCCTCCACAAGAGCCTGCAGCTGCCAACCGGCATTGCCTTGTTCCTGTCGGTCACGAACCAGCTGTCCGCGCACCAGAAGGAGGCGTCCTTGTCCGCGGACTTGGGACGTGCAGCGGCGCTGCTTGATGATATCAGGAAGCGCCCGGGTGTGATCGCGCCCTGCGATGGCGAGCTGAAAATTATCGACCACGAGAAGTACTCGGAGCTGCACGCCCTGACCGCCCACGCCAAGATCGCCGGCAATGAGCGGCTTCTTCGAGACCACGCTGTGACTATCGCAGGGGCAGAGGTAGCGCAGAAGGAGCTCATCGACCACCTCAAAAGTTGCCTGCGCGCGAAGGTGAAGAAAGTGTTCGACTCGACCATTTTCCTGGGCTTCATCGGATTCCTCAAGAAACCCACCACCGCGAAGATGCCCGACGTGTCGTCAGTCCGGACCTTGCTCGATACGCTCGACGCCCGCAGTGACATCGCCGTCTTGCCGTTGGACGCGGTGGCCCCGGCAGCACTCGTCGACCAGCTTCGGCGTTCAGCAGAAGACGTCAACGCGCTGCTGAATTGCATCATGGCCGCGGCCCCCAAGCTCGTCAAGATTGCCTCGCTGGGCGACGCTCCCGGCACCAATATCCTCTTCGATCCAGAGGTGGTCAATGTCTGGAACGCGTTCAGGTCCGGGCCCGCTTCACCTGGCCGCGTTTTCGGTCAGAGCGCTGGCACGCTGCAGGTTTGGATTCGCGCGGCCGTGAGCAGGCAAGCCAAAATCATCATGGCATCCGAGGTGGAGTCCTGCGTCCCGTTCGCGCTTGCTCTGGGCGCTCTCTACGCTAGGAAGGACGAGCTCTACGGCGCCACGCAGACCCTCGTGGAGGAGTCGGGCGCCGTGGGTGCTGCTGCTGTGGATGCTGGAGAAGCGCTGGCACCGCCACCGCCTGTTGATCGTGATGCTGGGGCGGCAGCGGGCGGGTTGACGGCCGACGCGATTCAGGCCATCCGCGCCCTGTACCACGAGTCGAAGGTGGGCGTCGCTCTCGACGAAGACACCCAGGCCACCTGCGTGATCGAGGCTACCGATTCCGCGAGCAAGAGTTTCGACCTGATGGCGAGGTTCGACCTCTCCAAGGCCGACATGGTGATCGGCAACGGCGCTGGCTCCGTCGCGTGCCCCATCGTGTGCATTTCCCCAGCCCTGGTGCTGTTCGCCCAGCACGTTAACAAGCTGTCCGCTGTTTCCCTCGACAACGGCAATGGTGCTGAGGCAGCCGAGGCTGCCGGTGCGCTGCTCGCGGGGGTGGCCTCGGCGGTGCCAGCGTGGTCCAAAGCTGCAAGCCAGGCGCTGACGATGGGCGCTGAGCGCAATCCTCTCCTCGACTTCGTGCAGCTCGGCGCGGGGGCGCTCGCGGAGCGAGCTCTCGGCGCTTCCAACGCCGCTAACAAGTACTTCGAGACCGTATCCGAGGGGCTGTCCAAGCAGCTCGAGGACGGCGAGCACGGCAAGTCCGTCGAGATTGCCGTGAACCAGGGTGACGACATCGACGCTGTCAAGGACCAGCTCCTGCAGATCGCCAACGAGAGCCAGACGGAGGCCGCCGCCTCCTTCCAGGAGGAGGGGGAATGGATGGGGGAGGAGCGACCGTGCCGAAGAGGAGAAGGAGGGGGGGAGACGAGGACGAGGAGGCGAGAGGGGACCGAACGACTCCCCGTCCTGCTCCTCCTCCTCCTCCTCCTCCTCCTCCTCCTTCTCCTCCTCCTCCTCCTTCTCCTCCTCCTCCTCCTCCTCCTCCTCCTCCTCCCTCCCCCATCCCCTCGCCGCTCCACCGTTGGCCTCGCCCCCTCTCAGCCTGGGCCGGGCCAGGGGGGAGCGGGGGCGGATCCTCATCCTCCTCCACGTCCTTCTTCCCGCTGCCGCTCTCATCTTCCCCCCCCAGGCCCTCAAGGCGACGATGGGCTCGGCCCAGAAAGTGCACAGGCGCATGGTGGATGCGCAGACCATTCTTGCGGAGGCCATCCGCGCGCACCCTGAGCTGAAGGGCTTCGAGGCCGCCTGCAACACGGAAGCGCTGCTGTCCGCTTCAGCCCAGCAGCTCCTGCAGCGCGGCGGCGAGGTGCTAGGCAATCTCGCTGCCGTTCAGGCCATCTATCGCCCGCTTAGGGCGGGCGAGCTGCGCCAGGCCCTCTGCAGGCGCGTCCATCGGGGCCTGGGCAAGTCGATTTTCCTGAAGGCAGATCCGCGGATCGCCATGCTGTTGGATCGCATGAGCAAGAGTAGCGGACTGTAGGCTGTCAAGACGATTCGTTTGCACAGTGCGGTCGCTTGGCGGCGCGTGGTCTGCCGCATGTTTGTCGGGGGCGCGGCATCCGGCAGCGCGCCGAATTTCTCCTTGGGGACGGGGGATGGGTTTGAACGGTTTGCCCCTTACGGCGGGATTCGGGTGAGAACAGCATAGTAGAGGGTTGAGGATGTTCGGTCGGCCAGCCAAGCTCGTAGAACTCGTAAGTTACAGTATAGCGGTGTGTTTTGTGCAGCCGCCATGATTACCTCAATTAAATGATTGTCACATGGGCGGCAACAGCGCCAGTACCTAGCATGCCTGCGGTTGGTTGTTGTGGTACCGTTCTTTAGGGCAGCTGCGCCGTCGCCCCGCTGGACGCTCTGTGCGACTGGCTAGTCGGCACTCGCCGTGGGCTTCCACCGCTTGAGTCTGCCCTCTCTGTCGTGCCGCGGGCTCAGCCGAAGTTGTCGAATCACGATGGGTTTCACGAGAGTGCCCAACAATAAACACACGAACAAACAAACAAACAAACAAACAAACAAACAAACAAACAAAACACGCACACAACCAATCAAACAACAAAACAAACAATCACTCAATCAAACAAGCAATCAAGCAATCACGCAATCAAACAAACAAACAAAACAAACAAAACAAACAATCAAACAATCAAACAATCAAACAAACAAACAACAATCAACCAAACAAACACGCATACCAACAACAGACAAACAACAACGCCAGCAACAACAACACCGAAACCAGTTGCTCTCATTGTTTGCTTGTTTGCTGAAGGCCGAAACGGCGCGAAGTGCAGAAAACGCCACTCCCAGCGAGGGTTTTGAAAAAAAAGGCGCTTGCGTCAATTCATTTTTTTCAAAACTATCGCTGGGAGCGGCGTTTTCTGCGAAAATGCGAAACAGCCCCCTTGCTTGCTTGCTTGCGTGCGTGCGTGCGTGCGTGCGTGCGTGCGTGCGTGCGTCCGTGCGTGCGTGCGTGCGCGTTTGTTTGCTTGCATGCTTGCTGCTTGCCTGTGTGCCATCATCTTCATCAGCACCAACAGCGACAAGAAGATGGGAGGTGGAGGAAGAGGACGAGGGGCGCCCGAGAGAGGCAGGATGGCAGGGGTGGGCCCCGCCTGCTGCGGCGGCCGCCCGCGCTGGCTGCGCTCGCCGGGGCCGCCGCGCAGACGGCTCGGCTTGGGCCAGCCGCCCCGGCCCTCGCCCCCCCCCCCCCCCGCCGCCGCCTCGCTTGGGGCCCTCTCGCTTCTCTCAGGACCGAGGTCGTGGTGCGAAGGATTTTTGTGTCCTGCGTTTGGGCCTCCTGGGGCGTCCGCGTCGCCACGGCTGGATGCGCCCCGGGATTCAAGTCAGAAGGCTCCCCTGGACAGGTCTCGGGCCGGAGTTTTGGGCAGGCGTGGACGAAGCCAAAGAGGGCAAGATGGAGGCGGACGAGGAGAGGGAGGAGGGCGACTAGGAACGGAGAGGGGGGGGGAGGGATAAGGACGAGGAGAGGGAGAAGGGCGAGGAGAGGGGGGAGGACGCGGACAAAGGAGGAGGGCCCTGCCATGCCATGCCCTACCCTGCCGCCGCCGTCGCTGCCATGCCTGCCCGATGTCTCGTCGGAGAAGGGGGGTTCTGGCCAGGTCGGGGGCGCCGAATTTGGCCGAACTGGTGCGCTACGGCCGGGCACTTGGGGTGAGTTCCCGGCCGAAATGAGCTGCCACACCCCCCTAAAGAAACTCTAACACGGTTGCCGTCTAAATCAGGGGTATTTCGGGTCAGGGCTAACTCGGGTTCCTTTTCCGGGAATCCAAACCCGAGTTACCCCGGGCCCGAGTTACCCCGGATATCTCGGGCGCCCAAAGAATTCAAAGATTGTATGTCTCGTGGTTTTTGGCAATCCGATTCTTCAGGTGCTTCAAGTGGTGCTCCCGCTGCAGCGTGGGCCTCCTTTTCGGATCGGCGCGTGGCTTCCGCTGTTCAGACTGGCCCTCGCGCCCCAGCACGGGCCACAGTTCTGGATCCCAGTCTCGCTTCGTTACGGTCCCCCTCCCCATCATTCCCCTCGTCCACCTTCCTCGGGTCCTCCTGACCCTTCTGCTCTTTCCACTCCAGTTACTGCTGCTGCTGTTAGTCTCGCCCCGGCGTGGGTCAGTCTTCTGAGCCCGAGTCTGTCTTCATCATGGTCGCCCCCCTCATTTCCCCTCCTCCTTCCCTTGGTCTTCCTTGGCCTCTTGATCCTTCCGCTTTGGTTCCTGCTGCTGATGTTCGTCCTCACCTCGTCCTCCCACTCATCCTCCTGCTCACCCGCCTCCTCCTCCTCCTTCTCCTGTGCACGCAGCTTACCTTTTGTTATGATTGCGCATCGAATGAAGTGCTGTTTTTTTTGCGTCTGTGGGAGTCGTGAGTCGGCTATGGCACGCGTCCCCAGATTTATGTCGGGCGTGTCCCCCTACAGGGGGACTTTCGACGAAAAATAAAAGATACCCCCAACATACCCCATGAAGGTCAAAACATATGCAAATTAGCCTGACGAAGGACCCAACCATGTGCAGTTGCGAGTACCGCATTGTGGGTACCGGTTTCGGTGAAGCTCCTATGGGGCCACGGAACTTGTGAGGCGTGCGCCGACATTGGTCGCGCGGACGCATGTGGACACCGCCATTGGGGCCTTCGGTGTAGCTCCCTATGGGGCAGCGAAACGCTGCCTTGGGCGAGGGAGACGCATGCAAACTGCGCCATTGGGAGCTTCGCTGGAGCTCCTTATGGGGCCACGAAGCGCTGTCACGGGTGGTGGAGACGCATGCGAACTGCGCCTCTGGCGCCTTCGGTGGAGCTCCCCATGGGGCTACGAAGCGCTGCCCTGGGTGGGGGAACCGCGTGCGGGCACCCCCATTGGGGCCTTCGGTGGAGCTCCCTATGGGGCCACGGAGCGCTGTCCTGGGTAGGGGAGACGCATGCGAACACCCCCACTGGGGCCTTCGGTGGAGTTCCCTATTGGGCTACGATCCTCTGCCCTGGGTGGGGGAACCGCAAGCGGGCACCCCCACTGGGGCCTTCGGTGGAGCTCCCTATGGGGCCACGAAGCGCTGCCCTGGGTGGGGGAACCGCAAGCGGGCACCCCCACTGGGGCCTTCGGTGGAGCTCCCCATGGGGCTACGAAACGCTGCCCTGGGTGGGGGAACCGCATGCGGGCACCCCCACTGAGGCAATCGCTGGCTGCTCCCTATGGGGCTACGAAACGCTGCCCTGGGTGGGGGGACCGCATGCAGGACTTCCCACTGGGGCCTTCGGTGGAGCTTCTTATGGGGCAACGAAGCGCTGCCCTGGGTGGGGGAACCGCATGCGGGCACCCCCACTGGGGCCTTCGGTGGAGCTCTTGATGGGGCTACGAAACGCTGCCGTGGGTGGGGGAACCGCATGCGGGCACCCCCACTGGAGCTGTCGGTGGAACTGCCTATGGAGCTACGGAGCGTTGCCCTGGGTGGGGGAACCGCATGCGGAAAGCCCCCACTGGGGCCTTCGGTGGAGCTCCCTATGGGGCTACGAAGCGCTGCCCTGGGTGGGGGAACCGCATGCGGGCACCCCCACTGGGGGCCTTCGGTGGAGCTTCCTATGGGGCTACGAAGCGCTGCCCTGAGTGGGAACCGCATACCTCTCCTTGGGGCCTTCGGTGGAGCTCCCTATGGGGCAACGAAGCGCTGCCCTGGGTGGGGGAACCGCATGCGGGCACCCCCACTGGGGCCTTCGGTAGAGCTCCCTATGGGGCAACGAAACGCTGCCCTGGGTGGGGGAACCACAAGCGGGCACCCCCACTGGGGCGGCCACGAAGCGCTGCCTTGGGTGGGGGAACCGCATGCGGGCACCCCCACTGGGGCCTTCGGTGGAGCTCCCCATGTTGCCACGAAGCGCTGCCCTGGGTGGGGGAACCGCATGCGGGCACCCCCACTGAGGCCTTCGGTGGAGCTCCCTATGGGGCCACGAAACGCTGCCCTTGGTCGGGGGAACCGCAAGCGGGCACCCCCACTGGGGCCTTCGGTGGAGCTCCTTATGGGGCCACGAAGCGCTGCCCTGGGTGGGGGAGCTCCCTATGGGGCCACGAAACGCTGCCCTTGGTCGGGGGAACCGCAAGCGGGCACCCCCACTGGGGCCTTCGGTGGAGCTCCTTATGGGGCCACGAAGCGCTGCCCTGGGTGGGGGAACCGCATGCGGGCACCCCCGCTGGGGCCTTCGGTGGAGCTCCCTATGGGGCTACGAAGCGCTGCCCTGTGTGGGGGGACCGCGCGCGGACCTTCCCACTGGGGCCTTCGGTGGAGCTCCCTATGGGGCAGCGAAACGCTGCCCTGGGTGGGGGGACCACAAGCGGGCACCCCCACTGGGGCCTTCGGTGGAGCTCCCTATGCGGCCACGAAGCGTTGCTTTGGGTGGGGGAAGCGCAAGCGGGCACCCCCACTGGGGCCTTCGGTGGAGCTCCCCATGGGGCCACGAAGCGCTGCCCTGGGTGGGGGAACCGCATGCGGGCACCCCCACTGTTGCCTTCGGTGGAGCTCCCTACGGGGCCACGAAACGCTGCCCTGGGTCGGGGGAACCGCATGCGGGCACCCACACTGGAGCCTTCGGTGGAGCTCCCTATGGGGCCACGAAGCGCTGCCCTGGGTGGGGGAAGCGCATGCGGGCATTCCTACTGGGGCCTTCGGTGGAGCTCCCTATGGGGCCACGAAGCGCTGCCTTGGGTGGGGGAACCGCATACGGGCACCCCCACTGGGGCCGTCGGTGGAGCTCCCTACGGGGCTACGAAACGTTGCCCTGGGTGGGAACCGCATGCGCGCCCCCCCCCCCCCCCGGGGGCCTTCGGTGGGGCCCCCTATGGGGCAACGAAGCGCTGCCCTGGGCGGGGGAACCGCATGCGGGCACCCCCACTGGGGCCTTCGGTGGAGCTCTCATGGGGCCACGAAGCGCTGCCCTGGGTGGGGGGACCGCATGCGGGCACTCCCACTGGGGCCTTCGGTGGAGTTCCCTATGGGGCTACGAGACGCTGCCCTGGGTGGGGTAAACGCAGGGAAGAGGGGAAAAATCGAGGAGGGGGGGGGGGGAGGGAGGAGGGGGAGGAGGAGGAGAGGAGGAGGACGCGGAGCGCTGTCTCTTCAAAACGAGGACCCACTACCACAGGATGGTTGGGAGAAGTAGTCGCCGGACTATGTTTGGATTATTGGTGGACTATTTCGGGAGTATTTCTGATTCTTCGTCGGAAATCCTTCTGTATGGGGGATAGGCCCGACTGAACCCCAGATAGAGAAACATAAACGCCACATACAAGGAATGGGAGGGAGCGATAAGCTGCCCGACGAGCCGCGAGCGCGCCCAGCTTCACCCCATCCCTTCCCTTGGCATCGCTCGGACGTGTGCATTTTTCCTTCGGCGAGGACCATCGAGGAGCACCCTCGATCCTTTGGCGCAAAAGGCTACGCACGAGACCGAAAAAACCACAGGGAATGGACGTCCAAGCGATGGCGAGTTCCCTCCCGTCCCCGTACCTCTTGCGCCGAAGCCCGCCCTGCACTCGCAGAGACCTGGCGTGTCGAAGGGGAGCCCCAGGCGCCCCTCGAAGGAGGAGGAGGAGGAGGAGGAGGAGGAGGAGGAGGAGGAGGAGGAGGGGGTGGAGGAGGAGGAGGAGGGGGAGGAGGAGGGGGTGGAGGAGGAGTTGGAGGTTGTGGAGGAGGAGGAGGAGGAGGAGGAAGAGAGGATGAGAGGAGGAGGAGGAGGCCGAGGAGGAGGAGGAGGAGGAGGCCCTCGAGGCCCAGAGCTCTCCGGCCGCCCCGCTGTGCGAGCCCCCGGGCGTCTGGAGACCACTTCCCTGTAGGCCCGGTTTTTGTTCGCCCCGAGTCGGCTTGTTCGGGGGCGGCCAAGAGGGGGGTGAAGACTGTGGGGGGGAAATATCATGGCGGGGGCCATGATATCTCCGCAGATCTCATGGCGCCTCTTCTTGTTTCATTACGTCCCTGGCCCCCCCGCTGGGTCGCGCACATGCCGCCGGTTATGATTTGCACCCTTCTCTTGGACACCCCCCTCTTGGCCGCTCCCGATTTGTTGACGGTCCCGAGGCCCGGTGAGGGCCCCAGAAGGCCAGGGGATCGTTT